TCTCTCCAGCCTCTGTTCCAGGCAGCCTCTCCAGGCACCAAAGTTGGCAGCAGGTTTGACTTCAGCAGAGTGGAGACATCTGAGCAAGCCCCAGGGGCCAGCCCCAGGCTCCCCCTGCTTTGTCCTTGTGAAACATCCCAGGGAAGGCTGCAGGAATTATTGCTTTTATGGGTTTGTAGGGCTCTTTGGGAATTTATTATCTTGGTACATTTATATATACATATAACACTGGTACATTTACATTTATTATAGGTGGTATAAAGCTGCTGAAAGGGGCAGAGGATGGGTCCTGCCACCCCAGCTGAAGAGGCAGTCTGGGGATGGGGTTGTGTCATGAAATAACTCTGTAACTTGTACTGCAGGGAGTGAAAAGATAAATTTTTTGGGGAAAATCCATTCACTGGAAATTTGTCCTAATAATTTCTGTCTGTGATAATAACAATTTCCCACCTGCACGTTCTGGCAGATGATGGTGAGTGGCCCAGCGTCCCCTGGCCCTTGCTCTTCCTGCTGCCTTCTCTCCAGAGCTCCATCAGCAAAGGCTTGAAGGGATGGGCAAGCTGTGCTGTTCAGAATGGAGTAGGACCTGCCAAAAACAGAAAAACGTTGTGTTTGGGAATGTTCTTTGTGCTCAGGCTGCTCTCAGGATGTTTCTGTAGCCTTCAGGAGCCGGTGGTAATTGCTGTTGTGATGTTATTTCATTGTTATTTGGGTTTTAGTGCTGCCCTGAGAGCACCTCGCCAGGTGATGCACACACGTGAGGAGACCAACTCCATCTCCATGGGCTGTTCCCTTAGAAACAATTCACAGAACAATCCCCAAATTTTGGCCTGGGAGGCTCTCTCCACCCTGGAATAGTCTCATGGAAAGTGCCAGGACCTTCCTGATGACCACAGGATGCTCACTAACATCACCTGGGGACCTGTCCATGCCACTGACCATGGACTTGGGCTCCCAAATTTGGGAATTAAAGGCTACAGGGAGTCTGCACTCACCTTTCTAGCACAAGCTGTGTCTTCAGCAGAAACCTGGGGTCTCTCCCTGGGCATTTTTCAGGGTTTCTGTGCCCAAAACAGCTTCTACCTTCCCTGGCAGGGACTCAGCCCTGCTGTTCTGCAGTTTTCAGTGCTGCCTATTGCCCTTCCCACCTGCTTGGGAATTTATTCCCCCCAGTGCTTTTCCTGTTCAGGGCAGCCAAAGGGATTTAACAGACCCCACTCTCCCTGGAGGGCCTTGCCTAATGGTGTTCCCCCTGAATAAAGCTCTTATTCCCAGATATTCAAGGACTTTGACCAAAACCCTGGGGAGTAAAATGTGTGACAGGCAATTACAGAAGCTGCCTCGACCTTCTGCTGACTCAGTTACCTCTGCTTAGTCATTAAAAAAAAAAAAAAAGAACATTATCAGGTAATGGATGTGGTCATTTACTCTGACAGAAAGAGTTGCCAGAGCTGGCACTTTTCAGTGCCTTAAATACATCAGGGGCTGCTTCCTGATAGCAGCAGTTAGGATAAAATCTCAGAGGGGTTTCAGAGCTGGTAAAACAGCCCCGAGTGACTCTGCCAGCGGGACAAAAATAGGTCACCTGTGTGATTTATGTGATTTAAAGGAGATAAAAACCCACAAGGATGTTGGTCCTGATCTATTATCTGGTGGAATCAGGGTGCAAGGATGGCACTGGATTATTCCTGAGTTCCCAGCAGGGGCTGGCCCTGCGCTGAGGAATTGTTCTCCTCGTTGCCCAGATGCAGGTGGAGCATTGGAGTCAGCACTGCTCTATCCTCAGTGACCCCAGAACTTGAATATCTCAGTGTGAACAGAATCTCAGTTCTTACTTAGGACCACCTCTATTTCTGTACAAAGTGAATTTCTCCCATCTGTCAGCCCTTCCTCCCGTTTAATCCCTTTCCTGCCTTGCCCATATGACATTTTTTAAGGACACTGGTCTGGAGAATACCAAGGATTTTTTGGTTACTCCACTTCCCTTTGCCCCCAGAAGCTACCACACAATTTCTCGTCTTTCTTTCTCTCTAAACATTTTAATAAAGGCCACAAACGCTTCACCATCTATTTACAGATGGCAGGATTTGCTGGGAATGGTGATGAGGCAGAGGCAAACTCTCAGTGTGCCTGGAGAAGAGCCACCAGCCTGTCTCCAGTGCTGCTGGAAAACACAAACTGCTGAGGCTGCTCCAGCTGAGTCATTCCCTAAGGACAGGTCATTGTTTGGGAGCTTTTCCCCAAAAACCCTGGTTCCATCTCCTGTCTTCTGGATGGTGCCTTGTCTCCTCTACTCTGGCAGGGAAAAATGAGGGGTAAATGAGTGATTTCTGTCAAATGAATTCCCACTAAAATCAAGATGAAAAGATGAGGGCTGCATTCTCAACAACAGGGTCCTAAAAACCTGGCTAAATATCCTAAGGAATGTTCCTGACCCAAAGCCCTTTTCAGCGGGGAATTATGCACGGAAGGAGTGTCTCTTCCCAAATTAACTCTCAAATTTACACCTTGCTGGTCGCAGGCAGAGGTGCCTGCACAGCAGTGCCTCCAGCAGCCATCTGCTCCAGCTCCATCACCCAGCAGCCAGCCTGCAGCTCACAGAGAGCTGCTGCACCACCTCAGCTGCAAAAATCACCTTGTCCTCTAACCCCACGCTAGGGGAGAGCATCTGCTGCTCCTTGGCTGAGGAGACGAGGCTCTGTGTGCCAGCTCCTTCCCCTCAGTGCCCTTCTCAGCATCCCTCCTCGTTGCCCCTGGTGAAATCCCAGCTGCTGCTGCTGCTGCCTTCAGTTTGAGCTTTCGTATTTCCCACCTTCTGTGCTGCATTTATAACTCTGAACTCCACAGAAAGTGTCAGCAGCTCTGCTCACAGCTCAGGCACACTGAACAATCCTGAACCAGCCCAGAAC